GTCTACTCATGGGGAGCTCTGGTGGCCTAGTGGCAAGAAGCTGCACTGCAATCCCAGAGGTGCACTGTTCAAAACCACCAGATGCTCTGCCGAGGAAGGAGGAACAATCTCCTGCTGTACCAGTCAGATCTGATTTGACGGTACACACACACAAAATAATAAAAATTTTTAAAAAAAGAAAAAAAAAGAAGTCTACTCATATAAAGATTTACAGTCTCAGAAACCTGATCAAGGATTACTATGAGTCAAAATTGACCTGACAGAGTTTGGGTTTTGGTTTAAGGAGTCCTACTGGGCCAACTGACAGCATCATGATAGATGCTGAAGAGATTAAGATTGTTGACAGCTTCAGTTTGCTTGGCTCTACAACTAATACTCTTGGTACCAACAGCCAGGAAATTAAAAGACTAATTTCACTGAGAAAATCTACTGTCAAGAGACCTCTCCAAGGTACTGAGGAGCAACGATGTCAGTCTGGAGACTTAGGTGCGCCTGATACAGCCCATGTTTTTTGTCATTACTTGCTATGCTTCAGAAGCTGGACAATGACTAGGAATGATACAAGGAGAGTTGATGCCTTTGAGCTTTGGTGCTGGAGAAGAGTATTCAATATACCATGAACCACTAGGAGAACAAACAAGTTCGTCCTGGAGAGGGTGAAGCCAGGATGCTCCTTGGAGGCAAGGATTCTGAAGCTTAGTCTGACATACTTTGGAAATGTTGCAAGGATGGACCAGTCCTTGGAGAGGGATGTCATGCTTGGGAGAGCACAGGAGAGGAAGACCCTCAATGATATGGATTGATTCCATCACTGGAGTAATAGGGATAGGTGTGTCAAAAACAATAATATTGGCAAGGGATAGAGCAGGGTTTAGGGCTGTTGTACATAGGATCGCTAAGAGTTGGAAGTGACTCAATGGTACATAACAACAACATGCTGCAACCACAATGTTCCTTGGGAGTAAAGACAGTGAAGCTTTGTCTCACATATTTTGGACATGTTAAGAGAGGCTGTCCTCTGAAAAGGGACATCATGCTTCATGCTTGGAAAAGTGGAGGGTCAGTAAAAGAGAGGAAGGCCATCAATGAAGGGATTGATACAGTGTCTGCAAAATAGACTCAAATGTGTTGAGAATGATAAGGATGGTTCAGGATAGGACAGAGTTCAGATCTATTGTCATAGGGTCAATATGAGTCATACTTAATTCAATAGCACTTAACGACAAGACAGGCCTCTGGTGGTCTAGTGGTTAAGGAGTTACGCTGCCAAACTGGAGACAAGTGGTTCAAATCCACCAGCTGATCTGTGGGAGAAAGAGGGATGATCTCTTTCTGTGTGGTAGCTTCTGAAAACTCAACTGGAAAGTCAGCTATAAGTTGGTTCCAACTAGACGTCAAAAACTACGTGGAAGATCTGGTGACCCTAGGGAGTAAGGAATTGTGCTGGCAACCAAAAAGCAGACGGTTTGAAGCCACCAGCTGATCTGTGGGAGAAAGACAGGCAATCTTTTCCTGTATGACTTGCAACTTCTGAAAACCTACTGGAGGATCAGCTACGCGTCAGTTCAGACTCTATGCCACATAACAATGCAATGGCAGAGTTGGTGCTCTGGTGGCGTAGTCTACAGGAGTAGTGTTGTTACCTCAAAGTATTGCCTTGCTGAGACTTTAAATCCACCAGCAACTCTGTGGGAGAAATTTCTGTGAAGGTTATAGCCTATGAAAATCTGCCAGAGGCTCAACTACAAGTCAATTTCTATTTGAGAGCAAGAATGTTTTAACTTTGTTGGCAGAGTTAGTGGTAACAAGAAAAATCTGCTGTGAGGAATGCCACTTAAAAAATCTGGGTAAGATTGCCACCACCCATGAGCTGGGTTAGTTAGCAATGGAGAGACTGGTAGCAAGTGATCCTTTCAGAGAAGTGAGCACAACAAAGAGGAAGCTAACCCTAAGGGAACTGAGAGCAGCTGTCCTCAGGGGTCTAAAAAGGGGACTCCACAATTGACAAAGGATAGCAGCAGAGACAACAGCCACTACCTTGCTCCAAATGAACACACAACACACAAGTAGATATCAAGAGTGTTTATTTAGCTTGATCAACTCCAACAGGTGTCTGTGACATGCAGAAGATACCAGCCCAAATGATTATTCCTGATCTGTACTTGGCTGTGGGGCCACCATCACCTCTCCACAAGCAGGTGAACCTGAGGCTCCCATGTTCACCCTGGTCCCTGAGGCAGCCACATCTTGCCCAGAAAATGTCCCCATGAGCCACTCCACACAAGGCGACTTTAGAGTCCAATTACAACCATCCCACAACCACCAATGCTTGATTCACCACCAGTTGGCAAATATTTCCTGAATTTTACAAAACCAGCTCTAGACTAGAATGTAGCATTGAAAAGTTATCTCAGGCCCTCACCATCAGGGAGCTCACAGACGAACTGGGTTCACACAGATACAGAGAGAGAGAGAGAGAGAGAGAGAGAGAGAGAGAGAGACCCTGTCGCTAAAGACAGCTTGCATATGGGTTTATGGGAGAAAGTATTACACACAAAGATCATGAAGAACAGGAAGGAGGTGGCTGACTTGGGCTTGGCTGGATGCAGGGAGGGGTTCCCCTGAAGAGTTTAGGGCAAACTTGAGGTGAGGGCATGCTGACCTGTACGATGGAAAGGCAGGCAGGATAACAAGTAGAAGTGCATCCTGGGAGGCCTCTTTTATGACAAGGCTCAGAGCCAAGATGGGTCACTCTGCATGGCAGAGGCCTTCTCTCTCTCTGGTCTGCTCCAGGGTAGGTAAAAAGAGGTGCCAGTAAAAACAAGACAAGTAAACACTCCAGGGCAGAAGAAACCCACAAACCGGACCCCAGATGCCATCTACCACCTGGACACACAGCTCCTCCCTGCCCATAAGACGCCTGACTGAGATGGGGATGCAGATTCCATGATTACCTAAGCTTCTCCTACACTAACGGTCTACAAAAGTATAATGAATTCAGGACATCGTGGTGTCATTTAAAAAAATCTAATTCAGCATCTGCATTGGCAGCTTTTCTGACAAAAAAGCAAGTGGATATCAGGTTAAACTCCTAGAGGTGAAGACACAGGTGTCTCCACCCTGCTGCCAGCCACATGTACTCTGCAGACACAGAAGGCTTCTGCTTAGGATGAGACAGGCCCAGAGAGGCCCCTTTTGGTCTTCCTGTCCCTGCAGCACTGGGCTGAGCTAGACTGGTGAGGGTGGAGAGTCCTTCCTCATTCAGACCCAGCAAAGCCTGGGCCTAGGACCAGTGAGGCCGCAGAACCACTAAGTCAGAGAACAAGTCTACCCATAACCCAGCAGCATCATCTGTGAGAGGAACTGGATCCAGTTCTAGGAGAGGGGACTGAAAAGCATTTCCTCCTCAGACTCTTTATTCAGAATGGGAAGGGAATGAAGGAGATGGCTGGAGAAGTCCTTGCTGAGGGTCTCCGTTTATAGAATTGCTTGTAAATTTTGAATCTACACAAATATGTTTTTCTGGGGAGAGTGTTATAGCTTTCATCAGGTTTTTTCAAAAGGCTCCATGGCCCCAAAGAGCTGAAAGCCTTGCTTTGAAAGGAAATTAAGACATCAGGCTCAAATTCAGGTCCAGAGGCTCTGCTTCTGCCCACTCTTTCTTTAAGACTGTGCTCCTCACACAGAAGTGGGAACCCACAGGACACAAACATATTTCCCAGCTCTGGTTCCTCCTACAGTGGGTGTTTCTGGAAAATGTCCTCATGCCAAGTGCTGACTGGACCTATGGAGTCTATTCCTGGTCCCTAGAAGCATCTGGAGCCCACTGGGCCCTGAGTTCTTGCCCATTCCACATCTGTTCACAGAAACAAAGAGAAAGGAGAAGTCAGATGAGAGGCCAGGAGAAGGCAGTCAGCAGTTGTCTGAGTATCTAACAAGCACCACAAGGACCATCAATCCCTTTGCAAACAAGTCAACAGCTCTGACAAGTATCTGAGGTCTAGCCACAGAGTTGCCTGGCCCCAGCGGGTCATGCCATGCAGAGAAGAGGCAGAGAGAGCAACAACTGGCACTGTAAGCCAAAGGCTGGCTGTTTCTCCAGAAGAGAGGTTCCTCTTGAAATATGGCTCTGAACTTCTGGCCTGCAAGCTTCCTCTCAAACCTTTATGGCCCTCCTCACATGATCTCAGGCACTCGGACCCTTGCTGCTATCCCGCAACCCCAATGCCATTCCTGCACCTAGCCACCTGAGAACACGGAAGCAGAGTTCAAAGGGTCCTGGCGCTCAGAATCCACAGCTTGCACCTCTTGCTCCATCAGGTGCAATATGGAGCAAGTGTGTGCCTCAGAGCACTGAGATAGGGTCTGAGGTGCTGGGACACAGTTGTGGCTCACCTTTCTCACCTGCGACCTTGGTTGGGGTAAGAGCCTCCACAACTGAACCTGCTCCCAGAAACTTCCCTCCACACTCTTCTATTCCATCAACACTTTGCTCAACTTGTTAGTACTCCTATCACTCCACATAAGCTTCATTTGTTCATGTCCCTACCCTCTCCAGCACGAGTTCTGATGGAAAAGGGCCCTACCTTCTCACAGCCTCAGACAGGATCCGAGGAAGTCTGAGAACAGTACACGATACCAGCGATGGTCTCACAGTGTCCCAGGGTGGAGAAAAGTGACTGGAAACCCAAAGCGAAATAGCTGCTCAGAAACACTGCATAGAAAAGCTGGAGCCTTGGGGTCTGAAGCTGAGTCAGGGAAAGTGGAGTAAAGAGCACTCCATGGAAGCCCCTCAGAGGGCTAGCTTTGTCACCCCTCACCCTCCAACCGGAGAGCCCAGGAGCTGCTGCTCACCTGCTCCAGGTGAGGGGAAAAAGTCATCACCTGACCAGCAATGCACTCTGAAGGCCAGGCTCCCAGGTAAGGAGTAGCCCACAGCCCCGGAGGCCCTTCCGGACAAGACCTCACCCCAGGACTGCCAAAGGCCTAACCACTGCAGGTCAGAGTGTGCTGCCCCTATGGGCCACAGGGTCGTCGGTGACACGGCTATGACTGCGCTGGTGTAACTTGAGGGCGCCCTCACGAGCAAAACTCTTGCCACAGCATACACAGCAAAAAGGCCGCCGCTCCCCAAAGACCCCAGGGCGGCGCGGATGCGGAGGGGGAGTGCGCGTGTGGGTGCGCGCATGGCTGAGCAGAAAGCGCGGCTCACGGAAGCGGCGGCCACACTCCCCGCACTCGTGTGGCTTCTCCCCGCTGTGGATGCGCCGGTGCGCGAGAAGGTTCTGCTTGAGACTGAAGCGGCGGCCACAGTCGGGGCAGGAGAAGGGCCGCTCGCCCGTGTGTGTGCGCTGGTGCACCTCCAGGTTGTGCTTGACCCCGAAGGCTTTGCCACACTCAGGGCACACGAAGGTGGCACGGCCTGGGCTTGCGTGCGCCTTCTGGTGCCGCACCAGGCTGGGCTGCTGCGGGAAAGTCCGGCCGCACAATGGGCAACGGTGGGGTGGCTCCTCCGCAGGCTGGTGGATGACCAAGCCTCGCTCATCCCCCAGGGCCTCCTCCAAGGCGTGGTCAGGGGACCCGCCCCTGGAGGGCAAAGGCTCTGTCATGGGCCCGTCTAGCGGCTGCTCAGCAGGCCCTAGGGAGGCAGAAGCAGAGAGAAGTCAGGCTGCTACCCACAAACACTCCAGCATTGTCCACTCTAAGGATTTGCTCAAAGCAGCTTTTCCTAGCTAAGAAGTACCCTAACCCTAGGTCATACTCTGCTTCTATGCCTCCTCTGATGCCACATCCTTCTCAAATCACCCCCCATCCCTCACCCTTCCTTGATTAACTTGACCTTCACCACCTCATGTGATGGTATGTCAGCCCATCTCGGTAGTTACCCACTAGGCCTGTCCCTCAAGACACCTTCAAAGGTCACCCACTATTTGAGTTATCTTCATCTGAATGTGCCTTCATCTCCCACCAGATTCTCAGGGAGGAATGGGGACACATACCCAATTAAAGGAATTTAAACTTATAACAAAACAAAAATCCCTCTAAATGCAAAAGAGGCCTAAATTAAAGGCAGCAATTCCTAATTTATCTAAATGAGGTATGAGCATTTAATGGTTTGAATCACAGAACCGACCTAGGAGTTGGGAGGAAGGTAGTAGTTCAGCTTCACTCATCTTTGTAGCCCCACAGCCAGGCCTGACCCAAGAAAAATCAATCCACTAAATGCTTAACATTGCCGCTTCCACCACACCCCATTTGTACTGGCTCTCCTGAAGGACCGCAGTACTCTGGGCGCTCCTTTCCTCTTAAACTGCTCCCCTGTATTCTCAGGACACCTGGTTTTACAGAAGAGGGAGCTAGTTCTCAGCAAGGTCAACATACCTGCCCAAGGTCACACAGCAGCCAGAACCAGGAATAGACCTCAGGTCTTCTCTCTGACAGCTGTTTTCACTGTGCAGCAGCCCAGCCAATAAAGGACCCTCACAATGCATACACCCACAACCAGCTCTGCAGAGCCAGGCAGACCCAAAAAGACGCCTGCCCTTGTAGGGACACGGTGTGCTTCCGCCACCACAGACCAGGCAACTTGTTCCTGCAGGCACTGAGACGCTGCAACCGTCTGAGCTCCCCGCCAAGCCCCCTCCCTGCTCAGACTCTGCATGTTGGCCATCCCCCAAGCCCTCCCCATAGCCTCGGATAATTTGCCAGCAGAGTGAGGTCTCAGGGGCTGTGTCCCTACCTTCAGCCAGCGATGAAATGGAACAGTCCCTCGCCCTAGAGAAGATGCAAGCAGCACTTCGAAGAGACCAGGCGCACAAATCTTTCCTAGGAAGCTGCACTGATATTTGCAAATAGCCCATTACAATCCCCAGGACAGTCTCATCCTGACCCTGTCACAGGGCCGAAGGTCCACGCATGGTCCTGGCCCTCCCCAAGTTCCTCCTTCCCGCCACACACTCAGGGCCTGGGCTGCACCCTGGTCTCTCCGTTCTCTAGCGGTGGTTCTTTCCTTAAGAGTCTGCACTGCCCGGCGCTAATACGGTAACTCTCCAGAAGACTCTGTATCCTCTCTCCCTCATCCCCATAAAGAGTGTTTCCGCAACACTAAAAAAAAAAAAATTAAAAAATAAAACACTGCATTAATCAAATGAGCTGAGCTAGCACTACCTTGCCAGCTACCAGGTTAAGAGCGCCCTGAGGCTGGTAAACTCCACGCCGCAACCCCACCCCAGCGAAAATACGGAGGCCTCTCTACTGCAGCTGCAAACCCACCCCACCTCGCAGGCAAGGTCTGGATGCCTGGGGGAAACAGTGGGTCCACTTCAAGCTCCCCTACGTTGCAGGAAACCACAGAGTCCCTGAGAAACACGAAATTAACGCACGGCACTCCCAGACCCAGTAACGGAAATGTACGGCTCCCAACAAATACTGTAACGCGCCGCAGTGACGCGTTTCGGAGTCTTGGCACAGATAAATACGGTAACTGGGCGGCTTCCTCTGGTCCCCAAAGCCTCCTCCAGCTGCTATTATTGCCTAGCATCCCTGCGAATCTGGGAGTTGGAACATGCATAAACTGACGGGCAGAACAGGGAGTCCACGAGGGCTGGCCCACGTGGGACAGAGGACCAAATGGAGTCTGGCTGGAACCAATGCCGCCCGTCCTATCCCCTTCCTCCTGCCCAGCCATTGCTATCAGGGATTTTGAGGCCTAAAGTCGACACTTAGCATCATCCTCTTCTCTCTTATCCTAAATTCTGAATACTCTGGTCCCAATTAGCCCTCTCTATCTGGAAAGTGAGACTTAGGGCCCCTGGATGTACAAAGACTTGTTTGCCTACGAGAGGGAGAATCTGGCAGTGGTCTTCACGTATCCAAGGGTACACAGAGACTCTGCAGATGGATCATGTAGGGTTCTCTGCAGAAATGTCCCCTCCTCAGAACTGGGCATGCATGTGACAACTTAGGCCTAATGAAGCCCATGGAAGGCCACTTGGTGCAGGTGGGTTAGGCTGAGCTGCACCAGCAGCTGTGGAGTAATGACATCCTTACCTGTGCATCCCACCCATTATCTCTGGGTTCTTCCGCAGCTGCCTTTGGGCAAGGCTATGCTCTGTAATTACCCAATTCAATAGTGGTTCCTCAGAGCCCAGAGGGCTGGATCACCCCCATCATGCCATGTGCTATAGTTATAATGGTAGCAATCATAGGAAATGATCTGGAAGGTACCTTAGAAAACATATAATCCAGCACCACTATTTAAAAGTGAAGAAGCAGGACTAAAGAGTGGAAAGGTTTTCATACTTAAAAGTGTTGGTGGTGAACCTGTGAACTGGACTGTTGCAGTAGGGTCACAGATGTTGCTCAGGCCCCCAAGGTTGATAACACTCTCTATCCTCAAAGCCCCTTGTGCTGACCTCATATCCCCACATCAAAGAGGAAGGCTGTGTGTGCCCAGTACATCAGCTCTATTTGGTTTTGGAAAAACATCTACAAGCTGTTTCTGCCCTTTGGACCCCTGGTGTGTGTTGTGTGTGGAGGGGGGAGCCATAGACAGAGGAAAGTCCAAAGATGCACATGCTCCAAAGTCTTCTTTTCTTTTACTAAAGCCCAGTCATGACCCAAAACATCAATTCAACCATATCCTAAGTAGGCCTACTGGAGACTGTTACAAGCATTATGAGAACAGAGATCTATGCAGAGAAAGTGTAGTGAGGTAGGTAGAGATGGGAAGACATAGAAGCTGCAAAAACAGCTAAAAATTTATGGAAAATAATGGGTAGTGTTCCAAGAAGCTCTTATTCAAACAAAGCAAGGAACACACCATGGATTACAGTCAAGAAAGGTTATGTGGCAGGGCTGTATCCTTTCTCCATACCTATTAAATCTGCATGCTGAGCAAATCATTCAAGTAGCTGTACTTTATGAGGAAGAATGTGGCATCAGGATTACTGGGAAACTCATCAACAATCTGTCTGTAAACTTCTGTTATGAGACTCTTGTCTGAGATGATATTACCAAATGTTTGTTCAGTGAGTAGGTTTTCTTTTCACACTGTTGGAAAAAGTTTTTGATATGCACAGGGATTTAACCTTTAGACGATCCCATTCCATTTTTATCTTCTTCAGATTGTGCATTTCTGGCTGTATTTGGCAGTCTCTTTGTACTGGAAGTTTACAGAATACTACTGGGCCTCCACAAAAAAAAGACCGATAGCCCAATTACAAAATGGGCAAAAAAGCATGGAAAGAATTTTCACAGAGGAAGATATTTGAATGGCCGACAAATGAAGAAGTGCTCAAAATCATTGGCAATAAGAGAGATGCAAATCAAAACCACAATGAGGTAGCATCTCACTCCAGTAACAAAGGCAAAGTTTACCAGGGCAGCAAGTAATAAATGTTGGAGAGGATGTGGTGAAATAGGAACCCTTATACATTGTTGGTGGAATTGTAAAATGGTACAACCACTCTGGAAGGCAGTTTGCTGCTTCCTCGAAAAGCTGAACATAGAAATTACATATGACTTAGCTATTCCACTATTTGGCATATACCCTGAGAAAATTAGAACTGAGGCACAAACGGAGACTTGTACAACAATGTTCATGTTAGCATTAGTCACCATCGCTAGAACATGGAAACAGCCCAGATATCCAACCATAATCGAATAGAGTGAGAAATTACGGTACCTTCATACAATGGATTATTACATTGCACTCAGGAGCAATGATTTTGTCAATTATTACCTAGCTTGGGAGGGACTGGAGAGCATTATGCTGAGTCAACAGATACAGTCTCACAAGGGCAAATATTGTATAAAATCATGATTGTTGAAAAAGTATGAGGATCTAAGTCGGTGGGAGGGTAGAAGCAGAGGGATGGGGGGTATATGGGGGCGTGGATTAATACTGGAGTTGTACAATCTGAAGAGGGGGTGAGAGAAATTGGAAGAATCTGGTCTGGAAAACAATGTATTTTAATTTTGTAAATAAAATAGTATAATAAGTTAAAAAAAGAAAAAAATCAAACCTTAAAAACACACCAAAAAAAAAACCAAACAACCAAAACAACACAATCTGTGTTATGTGATACAATCTTACTGCTAAGTGTGGTAGACTTGAAAAGCTTACTGTAGAAGATGAAAGTCTTCAATTTTCAATATGGATTACATCTCAAAATCAAGAAGACAAAAATACTCACCAATGGGTCAACAGGCAACATTCGGATAGATGGTGATTGTTGTTATGTGTCATCAAGTTGCCTGAGACTCATAGTTACCCTATGTACAGCAGCTCTGAAGCCTGTCTTGTCCTGAGCCAATCTGATTCCAAAACACATACCCTTGTTGGCCCAGTTACTGTATCTATCCATCTCATCCAGGGTCTTCCTCTCCTGCACTGAAAATCTTAGCCTACAAGGACAAACGTAGTTTCACCCTCGCCAAGACAGACCTATTTGTTTCCTTGGTGATCTTTTCTAGCACCACAACTTGATGCCATCGATACTTCTTCTGTCATCCTGAGTCATTGTCCAACTCTCTGATGCATAGCAAGTAATTGCAAAGACCATAGCCTGGGTCAGGTGCACCTTAGTCTCTAAGCTGACATCGTTGCTTTTCAGTACTCTGAAAAGTAAAAATGCCACGTAAGCTGTAATGATTGATGGAGAAAAGGTTAAAGTTGTCAATTATTTAATCTTAGTTGGATCCACAATCAATACCCTTGGTACCAGCATTCAGGAGATTGGGAGATGTATTGCAATGGGAAAGTCTGCTTTCAGGGACCTCTCCAAAGTACTAGGAGAAATTATGTCAGTTTAAAGTCTAAAGTGTGCCTGATTCAAACCATCATTTGCTATACATCTGAGAGCTGGACAGTGAGTAAGAATGACAAAAGAAGAACTAATTTTTTTGAGTTATGGTGTTGGAAAATAATACTAAATATCCTATGGACTGCCAAAAAGAAGTCTTGGAACTAATTCAGCAAAAGCGCTCCTTAGAAACAAGGATGGTGAATCTTCGTCTCATATACATTGGGCATGTTGTTAAGAGGGGCTATTCCTTGGGAAGAGACATCATACATGGAAAGGTGGAGGGTCAATGAAAGAAAGAAAAACTCTCAATGAGATGGTTTTAAAAAGTGATTGCAGCAATGGGCTCAAGAATACCAGAGGTGAGGAGGATGGCAGAGACAGAAAGAACAAGGCTCAGATCTGTTGTTCACAGGGTCATTATGTATCATTGTCAATTTGTCAGCACCTAACAATGGCTGTTGGCTGGATCTTGTTGTGTGAAAAAAAAAACAAAACAGAGGTAAACCTTGCTCTGTTGGGAACCAGCATGGAGAGAGACTTGTGTGCTGAGATTTAGACATATGCCAGAATCTTGTGAAGATGGTAGCCCACTTACATATGATAAGCAGAAACTCAGTAAACTGCTGAAGTGGCCAAGTAATTATCTCCACACACAGTGTTCTTGGGTATGGAGGAAAGACAAACAAATCTGCAGAAACATGGTGCTTGCTTAGGAACTAACAATCAAAGTTGTTTATCTTAACTTGCTCTTTGAGAAGACTTCTAAATATAAAGTGTTAAAGGCAATATGGACTCTTCCTGAGTGGAGTCCCCTGACCCTCTTCTTAAAGATTAAATTTTCTGTGTTTTCTTTCAGTTGTTGTTTTGTTCCCCTTTTCAAAGTACTCTGGTTCTGAGAGCTGGATCTCACATTGCTAACTGCACCATCCTTACAATCGCTGCCCTATTCAAACCAATTATTGCAGTCACTGTGTTAATCCATCTTGTTAGGGGACGGGATGCCCTTCTCTTTTGGTGACCTTCCTAAACAAGCTATCTTCTTCAAAGAACTGCTGTCTCCTGATACGCCTGAAGTATATGAGATGAAGTTTCACCATCCTTTCCTCTAAGAACATTGTGACTGCATCACCTCCAAGACAGATCCGATTGTTCTTTTGGATGTTTGTGGTGTATTCAATATTGTTCACCAACAGCATAATTCAAAGGCATGATTTCTTTTTCAGTCTCCCTTCTGCTCAACTTTCAGATGCATATAAAGCAGTTGAAAATATAATGGCTTGGGTCAGGTGCACCTTAGTCTTTAAACTCACATCTTTGCTCTAAAATATTTTAAAGTGGTCATTAACAGCAAATTTATCCAGTGCAACATGTCTTTTAACTTCTTTACTGCTGCTACCATGAGTATTGACGGTAAATCCAGGTAAAAGTAAATCCTTTATAATGTCAACCTTTTCTCTTTACCATACTGTTTCCGAGGATTTTTTATCCTTGATATTGAGATGTAATCTAAATTGAAGGCTGTAGTTCTGATGTTCTTCAGGAACTGCCATAAGTCTCTTTCACTTTCTGCATGCAAAGCTGTGTTATCTGTACCACACAGGTTGTGTGTTACTGTGATGTAAGAAGCTATGACACTAGTTTTTCAAATACTAGCAAGGTGACCCTTTATCAACAAATTTCAGTAAGTTTCCAGACTAGGGAGCAGGTATGGTAATTCACTTTTGAAATAACAGGACCTTGAAAACCCTATGCATGAATGAGTGGAATAGGAACCTTTTAAGAGCTGAATGTATTTGTGCAGTTGTTTCCTGTTCCCTTATACAATCCCTCAACCTCTAAGTATTTTAGATTTAAAACACCAGACTAACCAACCTGACCCTCTCTGATTTAATGGCATGTCTCCTTCTAAATAGTCTTACCTGATTTCATTCTTTTAAAAAGAAAAGGAACTAAGAATTATGCCAACAGTGCAGTGCGAGCTGTGGGGAAGTGTGTGATTGTGGCAGTGGAAGAGCCTCCAGTCAACAGGAGGTCTGAGATCTGACATCAATTTGCAATGACCTCGGTGGACATATCACACTATCCCCAACCCCTCTCTTAGAGGGTCAAATAGCAATTTTTGTCATGGTAAGACAGGATAATGTACAAGGAAGTCTGGGTGGATAGAATGTCCCAGGCTACTAGCATATAAAATGGGCTATTCCATGTAGGTCTGTGAGTACCTGGGAGGGGAAGGGGCATATGTCCCTCACCTTGTTCTCAGGTTTAGACTTGTCACCTTCTAGCCAAAAAAAAAAAAAACAAAAAACAAACCTGTGAGAGGAAAGTGGCTGAGGTTAGGGAATGACATTCTGGTGAACTTGAATGAGGAGAAAAAGCAACTCCATTAACCCTCATATCTCATTAAGTCCCACTGTTTATGTGTGACTGACTGTCACTAAACAGGTCACTGCTCAACAATGACACTCCCACCCACAGACTCTCCAGTGCTTGCATGATGATCCACTCAGGCACCTGCTCTAATGGGCTCTGTCCTCACAGTTCTTGGCCCTCCAGCCCATGAACTTGTGACAGCACACAGAAATCTTCCTCAAGGAGGCAAGTTGCTAGGCTACAAGCCTTCCTCGTCTGGATCCAGATGAGATTCAGGACACTTAGCCCAAGGCAGGCAGACTGGGCAACAGCAAGCTGACTGCAAGGATCTAGGGAGAAACCTAGGCTAGGGTGGGTCAAAGACATCCTGAAAACTAAGTGATCCCATGGGTGAACACGGATACACCGTGAGTAGTTCAGTTACTTATGGGAAACCGGGTAGGGCATGGAAAGATGGGATGTTGGAGGATGAGGTGTGAAAGGCATCAGAGAGTATGCGTTATGGTCCCTAAGTTCTAACTAGCCCAAGTCCTGGGGTCTGCCATGTATTACAAGGCTCCTCCTTCACATGTCCTTCTGGAACGTGGAAAGGTTGATGGGTGACTGGAAGCTTCCAAGGAAGAGAGCACTGAATTCAGTGCTGCACAACTTTCTCCTTCCTGGACTCTAACTCCTCTCACCTCCCAGCTCTCTAAATTAATGTCCTAACACTCACCCTCTTGTCATCCTCTTTTCCCACAGAGGCAGATGTGGTCTTGAACCAGGGGTTTTCTGTAGATAACCAGGGCCTCAGAGGCATCGCCTTAAGTGTATGAAGGGTGCTGCAAGTCGAATGCTCCGTGGGAAGAAGGCAGCAAGCTGACTCGGAGAAAAGAAATCACTGTCACCTCCTCCAGAAAGAAACAGAGCCGTAAAGGCTAGGGTTACACAAAGGCTCCATTCCTGTCCTGGGGGCAGTAGGACCCTCAGAGGGCACAGATCCAGGTTCCAAGGAGGAGATCTGAAAAGGCGCACAAGACCCTATGGCACAGGGTCTTGTTCTTCATGTTCTCTCTGAAGCTCTGGGGCTGGTGAGGGGCCTAGTCAGGCAAATAAAAGTAGCAATCCTCAAGCCACCAAACCTCCTCCAACCCATGCCCAGGTCCTAACACAGACAGCAGGGCTGGGTCAGATCCATCACACACACCTCCAACAGTGGGACACTCTGACCTGTTGTGCCTCCTGACCACCTGTTCTACCAGAAGCACCTGTTAAGCTATACCAACGCTGTTAGGCATATTGGGTACTGTGGACATGTCTGCCCCTGTCCACAGAACACTGACTTCAAATCCTGGGTGTCTCAGTCTAGCTGAGGCCTGTCCTCTCTGCCTAGCCCTGGGCTTTGGGGCGGAAAGAGGGGAGGGGCTCTAGGAACATCCTCTCTAGGCCTCTGGGTTCCCCTTCTCAGGACTGAGAGGTCTGAAGAGCTGCCTCTGATGGAGGGTCACATCCTCCAGCTCTGAAAGCCCTTGACCATTTCCAATAAGCCCTAAAGTCCATCAAAGTACCTACTCCCTGGTGCCAGGGCCAGAGGCTGGGCGCCACGGTGGACTTGCTGGAGCTTGAGCAGATGCTTCTTCTGGCGAAAGCCACAGCCACAGGCCGTGCACAGGTAGGGCAACTCACCCGTGTGACTGCGCTGGTGGCTGGTTAAGTTCAGCTTCTGACTGAAGCGCCGGCCACACTCAGGACAGGTGTAGGGCTGTTTGTCCATACAGATGCCAGTGGACAGTGAGCACAGACCACCAGAAGAAGCTTTTGCCACACTTGTTGCAGATGAACTGGTGGCCCTCACAGGGCCTCCACGTACCACCAACTGCAGCAGGAGGCCAAGAATTGCCTCACCAGCAGGAACATGGTCCCAGCCAGGCCCACCCAAGCAGGCCTTGAAGTTGCTGGCTCAGGTGGGCATTCCTGGTGGGCAGTTGTGTGCCCAATGTGCTTCTGCACCATGGCCCCAGCTAGCTGGCGAGATCTCGGACATGCATGCGTTGGTGGGTACTCCAAGCAGGAGTCATGAGCCTGCTGGTGCTGGAGCAGGGGAAACAACAGAAGAGTCGCTCACCCATGTGGTGATGCTGGTATCACACCAGATATGGTTTCTGGCTAAAGCTCTTGCTAACTCTGCCACAGAAGCTCGGCCTCTCCCCAGTGTGCACACACTGGTGGATCTTCAGATAGGAAGATGAACCCCTTTCCGCAGTCCAGGTATACAAAGTGGCCCTGGGAGACAGAGGGTCAGGTATAGGGGGCTGGGGCCGCTGCAGCAGCCTGGCCCACCTGGACCCCATCGTGCTCACTGGCAGGAGCCCACCTTTGACCTCCAATCTTTTCTTGTCTCCTGGAGGGCACAAGGTGTCCCACGGCTTGGCATGGCAAAAGGCTGCAACTCTGCAGGAAGGCCTTTTCCTTGTCTCTCTCAGGGAGCACAGCTTGGGGCGCTAGCATCTGCAGGGGCCACTCCAGCTTCTCCTGATTAATCTTCATCCCCAGCCCAACTCCTGCCAGAGGCAAAGGGAAGAGAGGATGAGGAGAGATTACTCACTGATGTGGACAGTGATAACCTGCAAAAAGCATGGAGATAAAGTGGCCATGAGGGCAGAAAGTGGTGGAGAGGGAAAATAGACAAAACCGGGTCTGTTCAAGTTCCCTCTAGAGTGTTCACTTGCCACCTGCAAGTTCAAGGTCCTCAGCATGCCTTTGCTTTTGACCATCCACAAGCACAGTGGTTCCCATGGCCATCATTAAGCTCAGCAACTCATTAGAAGGCTCAAGAAAGCACTGTACTTAGCATGAGTCTTATTGTAGCCAAACAGAGAGACAAACAGGGTGAGGGCTAGAAGGTTCCAAATGCAAAGCTTCTGTCGCTCTCCAGGGCATAGCTGTTATTCACTTAGCATCAAACTGTGGCAATGCTCAACAACACTGCCACTCAGGAAGTTCCCTCACACAAACTGGACTAGATCACTGTCTACATGCCTGAACTCAGTCTTGAGTACTCTGGCCTTACAATTCTCCAGACGGGCCCATATTACAGAGTTTCATTCACACCTCTCTAGTCATACAGCTGTCTCTCTGGTCTAGCTAGCCCCCACTCAAACACTACTAGAGTTACATGTCAGCCATGAGATCACTCCTGAATACTAAAGATCTTCCAAACACTTGGGAAATTCCAAGATGCCTTGAGTCTACTTGGGCTGCCAGAGCAAAAAGCTACAAAGTAGATGGCTTTAAAGAACAGAAATACAGTTCTCACCATTTTAGAAGCTAAAGACCAAATTCAGAGAATCTCCAAGGCCTTGTTCTGTCTCTCTACTCTAAGGGAAATATGTGCCACATCTGCAGCTCCAGGCCTTTCTTGTCTTCCTTGGCTTGTAGACAGATCCTCTCATGTAGTCTTCCCTCGCAGATGCTTCTCTTTTATAAGAGCTAAGTCTAAGGCACACCTACTCCAGTATATGGTTTGAAACAACTTAAAATAAAGAAAAACCCCATTTCCCAAACAAGGCCACATTTACAGGTGTAGGGTTAAGACTTCAACATTTTCTTTGTTCATTTAGGGGCAGAAGGAACACAACATAATACTATCCATACCACCATACTTTGGCCTCCCCAGAATTTACAGCCTTCACAGATGCAGAACACATTTACCTCATTCCTGTATCAAGCCCTAACCCATTTCCGCATCAGCTCTCTGGGGATGAACTCTTCTCTATCTGCAAACCTGTGAAATCAAGGACATATATGACCTGCTTCCAAAATACAATGGTTGGAATGGCATAAGGCAGACATCACAAAACAGAAAACTGAGGGAAAGGTGGGATGATGAGGGCCAAGCAATCACCTCTGAAATTCAGTAGGGAAAATTCAGCAGGGCAAATTCCATTCACTCTTGACAAGAATCCTCTGTCCCCAGGCCTCCATGGTGCTCATTCAACCCCGGAAAGCCCTGATCTAACGGTAATTATCAGTGCTGCTTGTGTAGACAGCCCTACTGGTCTCTTGAGCTGCTTCCAGGGCTGCCTGAGTGGTTTTTGTTTGTTTTGGGCTTTAAAAAAAAATTTTAGGATAACTTCGCATTCACCGATCTCCATCTTCTCAGTTCATGCTTGTAGAATGTCAAGAAGCCTTTTTCTTCCATTAGGTCTCATCTCTGTCCCTTTTATTTAAAGATGGAAAAATCCTGATAAGATGGATAACTGTATATATTTGTATACCAAGTAAGTGTTTAGTCACATTCTTTTTTTTTAAATTTATTAGTGTGTGTGTGTGTGTGTGTACCATCAAATCCGATCTCACTGGTACAGGAAGAGATTGTTCATCCTTCTCCAGCAGAGCATCTGATGGATTTGAACTGCGCACCCCTGGGACTGCAGAGCAGCTCCTTGCCACTAGGCCACCAGAGCTCACCATTTAGTCACATTCTTAATGTCCCCTCCAGATAATACTTTCTAAATTTTTATAATAGATTTTTTCTAATCTTCAAGCTCCGGCTCTTTTTTTGCACGGCTTATTCCTCTCTACCAGCATTTTACTATCATCAGCAAAGAAAAACCAGACTGTACCTTGAAGGTGATACTTAGAAAAATCTATAGTTAAGGGAGCTCTGGTAGCCTAGTGGCAAGAATCCCAGAGGTACATGATTTGAATCCACCAGTTGCTCTGCTGGAGAAGGAAGGACAATCTTCTCCTGTACCAGTCGGATCCAAAGTGTCTGTAGTTAAATATCGACAACTTAAAACTTTTCCATCAAACATAACTCAGCCCAAGTCTTTGATACATAACAAGAATCTTCTCATTTCTTTCTGGGTCCTTATTAGAACTGTCTTTAATAGACAGTCGAGACCTCATCTAGCCCAGAGCACAGGTTCCTCTACACAGTTGTCTGTTTCACATCTGCCACGCCAGCTCACCATGGACAATGTCATGTGGTCAACAATGGCTCCAGCATGTGCAAGGCTGGCTTTGCGGGTGACGCTGTCGCCACCACCCCCAGCTGTCTTCCCCTGCATCATGGGGCTGCCTTCCCCTCCATCATGGTATGCCCTCGGCACCAGGGCATGATGGTGGGCATAGCCAGAAGGACTCATACAAGGGTGATGAAGGTCAGAGCAAGAGACCTCAAGTACCCCACTGAGAACAGTACTGTCACCAACTGGGAAGACATGGAGAAAATCTGGCACTACACCTTCTACAAACTGCATGTGGCCCCTGAGGAACATCCTGTGTTGCTGGCAGAGCCCCACCTGAACCCCAAGGTGAACCAGGAGATGACCCAGATCATGTTGGAGACCTTCAACACCCTGTCGCTATCCAAGCCATGCTGTCTCTGTATGCCTCTGGCCAGACGACTGGCATCATGATGGATTCTGGCGATGGGGTCACCCACACTGTGCCCATCTATGAGGGGAACGCCCTCCCCTACGCTACCCTGCATTTGGACATGGCTAGCCAGGACCTGATGAACTACCTCATGAAGAAGATCCTCACCAAGCAAGGCTACAGCTTCACCCAAACAGCTGAGCAGGAAATTGTGCCCGACATCAAGAAGTAACTCTGGTATGCCCTGGACTTTGAGCAGGAGATGGTCATGGTGGCCTCCTTGTCCCTCTTGGAGAAGAGCTGTGAGTTGCCCAACAAACAGGTCACCACCATAAGCAATGAGCATTTCTGCTGCCTGAGATGCTCTTTCAGCCCTCCTTCCTGGGCATGGGGTCTTAAGGCATCCACGAAACTATCTTCAACTCCATCATGAAGTGTGACGTTGACATCCGCAAGGACCTCTACGCAAACGCTGTGCTGTCCAGTGGGACCAACATGTAGCCAAGCTTCACGGGACACAGAAGGAGACCATTGTGCAGGCCCCAGCACAATGAAGATCAAGATCATTGCTCTTAGTGCAAATTCTCTGTGTGGATCAGAGGCTCCATCTTGGCCTACTTGACCACCTTCCAGCAGATGTGGATCAGCAAGCAGGAGTATGACAAGTCTGGCCCCTCCATCGTCCCCTGCAAATGTTTCTAAGTGCACTGTTTAGTTGTATTACACCCTTTCTTGATAAAAAAACAAAAACAAAAAAATCCAACCGTAACTTGTGAAGAATAAAAAGCTGAGATGAAATTATCATGGTTTTATTTGTTACAATGTTTTGTGCCCGTGCGTGTGTGTGTGCGTGTGTGTGTGTGTGCGCTCGCGCATGTGTGTGCTTGATTTAAGGATTTAAAACCTGGAATGGTGAGGGTGACAGCAGTTGGTGTGGAACAATAACTTCCCCCCCTGAGTTCTACAATGTGGCCCAGGACTTAAATTGTACATTGTCTTTGTTGTTGTTGTTTTAAATAATCATTCTAAATAACCGTGACATGGAGATGTGACAAGAAGTTCTTGCCTTTCCAAAAGCCCCTCCCTTCACCTTAAGGAGAAAAAACCCATCTCCCCCACCCCAGGCCCACACACACAGACAGGGGGTTGGTAGACAGCATTGCTTTTGTGTGAATTATATGTAATACAATTTAAAAAAAAAACAAAACACAACAACTTCTCTTTAATACTTGTTCTTTTAGTTTAGTTTTTGTTTGCCCTATTCAGCCATTGGAGGTACTATTTTTTGGGGTCCCTGCCACTCCTCCCAACTGTAGAAATATGAAGGCTTTTGGTCTCCCTAGGGTGGTTGCGATCTGGAAGCAGCTAGGACTTTTACCTGTAACTGACTTGAGACCAAATGAATAAAAGTTCATACCTTAAAAAAAACCCTTTTAATAAAAAAAAAAAAAAACAAAAAACAAAAAACAACTTTTAATAGCCATAGGTCTGCCAACAGCCTATTCAAGGCAAGCTAGGCTTTTTCTATCAAGTGCTTCCAAATTCCCCGGACTTTTAACTCATTGTCCAAGTACAAAACCCACTTGTACTTCAATATCTGTTGGGGAAGCTCCCCAGTCTCAGTTTCCTAG